GGGGTCCCATGACAGAAAGAAAGAAGCGGAGAAAAGGTAAGAACGAGGCCGCTGCATCACCGTCTGTCAGCCAACCCGTCTCCTGAAGACAGTACAGAGAGGGGGGAGTGGGTCATTTTTAGTTCTCTCGTATTATTAAACAAGGACTTCAGTTTTTGAAACAATACTTTTACATCAACTCATTATTGTACACTCTGACACCCTGTAATAAAAAGGTTGTTGTTTCGGTCCCTCTGCAGACTTGAGTTTGAAGCATGCTTTGTAATGAAAAATGTCAAGTGACTTAATTGTCTATGATCTCATTAATATGGCAGTTGTGTTTTTCAGTAGTACGACTGTCTATGACATGCTTTGTGGTTTCTCTGACTAGCTGCTAGTAACCAGTCAGTTTCAAATTAATTTCTTCATTAATAAAACATCAATTTCATTCTAGAATTATTTTATTTATTTATTTTAATTTGAATAGAAATGGACAGAGTAAAAGAGAGCAAGGGAAAGCAAAAAAGCAAGCTGCCAGGTCTGGGACTCCAAGAGCCATCAGCCATGTGGGAGTCCAACGCCCTTAACCACCACGCCACCTGCTGGCCCCAATTTCCTTTTTAAAAAATATACCCCCACACTCCCCTTCCCTTTTTTCAGAGAGATTTTTGATAGAGGGTACATGTGCTCACCAGGGAGACAGAAAGTGAGAAATCACTCCCCCCCAGGGGTAATGTCCATGCCACAATCCTTTCTTTTCCATTCTCCTCTAAGGATTCTGACCCACATGTACATATGTCCAGCATGAGTTCCAAGACTCGGGTCTAGGACTCCAACTGTGATTGGCTATGTGGGAGTCCACCGCCTTAACCACTATGCCACTACCCCCCCTTTTAAAGTCATGTTGCTCTTTTTAACATTGATTAAAATTCAGCAAAAAAAGAAAAGGATAGAGTTAGCAAAAATTGCTCTTTGTTGACTCTGGGGATGGTTATAATTGGAATTAATTATACCTTCTCTCCTTTTGTTCATGTTTAAGAATTTTTATAATAAGTTTTTTTTAAGAGTTTCAGCAAGAGAGACCAGCAGGTGGCGTGGTGATTAAGGCGCTGGACACTCCCAGATGGCCAACCACGGTTCAAGTCCTGCACCTGGTGGCTTGCTTTCTCACTTTCCTCTCTCTCTGTGCGTGTCTCTCTTTGGTCAAATTAAAATGAATGAATGAATAAATTAATTAATTTAAAAAAAAAAGATTTTCAGCAAGAGGGACTGGCAGGTGGCATGGTGGTTAAAAGTGCTGGATTCCCAGGGAACCAGCAGTTAGTGTAATGGCTATGTCGCTGGACTCTCACGTAGTCGACCGCGGTTCGCATCCCGGACCCGGTGGCTTAGAACTCACGCCGGGTGCGTGTGCGTGCGTGCCCAAGATCTCGAGAGGAGAATGGAGGAGAAGGGATTGCGGCGTGACCATCCCCCCTGGGGGGTGATTTCTCGCTTTCTGTCTCTTATGTCTCTCTCTGTCTGGTTGGCGAGCGCACGCGCCCTATAGCGAAAACCTCTCAAAAAGAAAAAAAAAGTGCTGGATTCCCACATGCTGACCATGGTTCAAGTCCTGAACCTAGAAGCTTGCTTTCTCGCTTTCACCGTCTCTCTCTCTCTGGTCAAATAAAAAAATAATAATAATAAACGGAATTAAACAAATTAATAAAATAAATAAATATAATAACAAATAGAGTTAAATAAATATATTAATTTAAAAAAAAAAGATTTTCAGCAAGAGAGGGAAATATCAGATTGTGTTGATCTGTTTGCAGAAAAACTGATTAGAATTGGTGTTGTAGTGTCCTTCCCAGTGGTTGTTAATGTAAGAACAAAATCATTGTCCTGGGGGAGCAACAACGGAACAATTGTTTTCTTTTGTCCTGAAAACCACTGCTTGCTTATTAAAGAAGAGAGACAGTGAGATGAGGGCAGGAAAAAGGAGGAGATGGTTACTGAAAGTTTTATTCATTTCATATGGACCCAGCTGAGCCACATAGTGTCACACATGATGGGGACCTATCCTCGGGTCACTCACAGTTTGCCAGAGCAGTATCAGGACCAGAGTGCCTGGCCCCTAACCTCTGAGAATAAGGACTTGCTCAGGTGGGGATTCTAAATTTAAGGCTGCATTGTAGAAACTCTGGGTCCCGAAAAGGAGAGGACAGAGAGTGGGTCAGTTCCAGTTGATAGGCTGTTTTCTTCTCCTACTTCTTTTTAGGACTGGTTCCCGGCCTTGTTAATTTAGGGAACACCTGCTTCATGAACTCCCTGCTTCAAGGTTTGTCTGCCTGCCCTGCCTTCATCAGGTGGCTGGAAGAGTTCACCACCCAGTACACCGGGGATCAGAAGGAGCCTCCCCAACACCAGTATCTCTCCTTAACCTTGCTGCAGCTCCTGAAAGGTACCTGGCTGCGAGTTCAAAGGGGGTTATGTGCACTTGCAAAGGTGATCCGATGACAGGCAAAGGCTAATAGCTTTATTGTAGAAAAATATTGTATAGATTGTTAGGAGAAAAATACTGAGAGCTCAGTAGAGGCAAACAGTTGTTTTTTTGTTTGTTTGGGTTTTTTTTTGTTTGTTTCATTTCTTTCTTTCTTTCTTTCTTTCTTTCTTTCTTTCTTTTTTTTTTTTTTTTTAATGCCAGTGAGTGTGTACATGCATGAGGAAGAGAGACAGTGAGATAGCATCCCCACAACGGGGCCTGATCACCCTGCAGTCCTTTTCCCTCTATATTTCCATCCTGTCAGGATCCTGGACATATGTATGTGTGCCTGACATGTTTTCCTGGCTGCCAGGGCTGGGATTCAAACCCTGGTTGGCCATGTGGAATCTGGTTCCCTCTACACAGTGCTTAACCACTGAGTTACAAGGCTGGCCCAAGTTTTTCTTTTATTTTAATCAAAGATGGAACTTTTTTTTTTTTTTT